ACATATAGAAATTTTAATTTGATGTTTATCTATCTGGCTACTTTAAATATTACTTAGGATTTATACTAGATTGTAACCTCTACAAGAACGTGCAGGTCCAGTTTAGCTCACCACTGTATTCTCAGTGCATAGCACAGATCCTTGCACATAGCACGTGCTCAGCAAATACATGTTAAATAAATGAATAAGTGAGAGTAATAAAAAAGTTTCCCAATTTGTATTTACATTATTTTCTGTTTTGTCTCAAATATCAAGTACTGGTGGGAAAGTTTAGAACTCAGGACTCATGCTCTTATGATGAGAAGTAAATTGCTTCAACTGCATTTCATAACAATCTGGCATTATCTAGCAAATTTGAAGATGGTCATGCTCTTTGACCCAGAAATTTCATTTCTTGATATATATCAGAGGAAAAATCTCAAATATGTGCAAATGGAAACCTAAAATAGCAATGTTTATTTCAGTATTGTTTGTAGCAGCATTAATAAAATCCCAAGCTAACAAAAACAAAACAATAACAACAAAACTACAACAATAACAGCTAGAAACAATCTGAATAGTCAGCGAAAAAATGGATGAATAAATTGTGGTATAGTCACATGATGAAAATAAAGTAGTTAAAATAAGTGAATACAGAATGCATGTATAAACATAACTATATTTCAAAAATAGTTGAGAAAAATACAAATATATAAGAAATATCTTTTATATGCGTGCATTGTAATATTGCAACACATATATACATAAATTTGCAGTATGAAGTATTGTTTTCTTTGCTTTTTGTTATTTATATAACAGTATGATAAATCACACTGTACTACATTGGCAATTTTATGGTTAACAGAACTTAATACACATTCAGCATTAATAAAATATAATAACCATTGCTCTTCAGGAGGTAACAATAAAGATGCTATTTAGCTGATAGAATCTTAGTAGAGTTTAATAGAAATCCAGTGATGTCTATCTCTTTACCCTTCTGTGAAAGAGAAACATTCATTTACAATAATTTCTCCCAATTCTGACTTTTTCCTATTGATGTGGGTCAATTGGAGATATTACTAAGGCTTTCATATTCAGGAACTTGTTTCCTCTGACATTTTAATTAGGTCATGAATACACCCTTGCTACTTGAAGTGTAATCTATGGATCAGCAGCAGGAGTGTCACCTGGGAACTTCTCAGAAATGCAGAATCTCCTGCTCTGTACCTACCAATGCAGAACCTGCATTTTAAAAAGGCTCACAGGTGATTGATATGTATATTAAAGTTTGAGAAATGTTGGTTTAGACTTCTGTTAATTCCATGACAACATAAAATTCAAAATTAACTAGATTTTGAGTTGCAATTGTGGGGTAACACACATTTTTCAACTTTTTCACCTTTACTCTTATTCACAAAGGGCTCCAACTGATCCTAAGAAACTTTGTTTCCAGGCTGTAACAGAGATTTTCACACTAAGTTAATGGGGGAAATCACAAGAATGTAAAGTGTACCTTTACTCTGTTGTAAGATGAGGTTGGCTAATGAAAGTGAGGGCAGATCTGGAAATCTGAGTTACTAAGACTCTTTTATACCTAAAAGAAAATATCCATATGATTATTATTGTTATTCCTCAACAGAAACATGAAGAATAACATTTTTAGCAGAGCAGAGGAAGTGGGAAATCAGAGCACAGTGGGTTGGTGGGTGCATGAGAGATGAAGTGGAGTTTGACTGTAGACTCTTTTTTCATGTCATCTAGATATGGAGGAAAAATGTGGACAACTAAAGGTGAATCCATTCCAGAGACAGAGAGTTTCTCTTCTCAGGCTCTCTCTCAATCCCTCACCTTCCCTGTCTCTTATGTTTGAAGAAGGTGACTTTGGAAAGGTAAAAGTATAAGTTTGATGACTCTGGAGAAAGATAAGGCAACTATTAGAGTGTACAAAGATGTATGAGAGGATGGGCTCAAGGGAATAGTGTAGAGGTTGCCTATGAAAAGGAAGACAAATACCTAATTTGCTAAGATGGAAGGTCTAAGAACGGAAATAGTGTAAAATTGGCAGTAGGAACATTTATGTGTTCTGCTTGTTAGAGGGATCACTGCGAAAGATCAAAGTTAATATTTGTTTTAGTTTAGGTTCCCCAAGTCAGAACCTCGGATAAAGACTCAGGTGCATCATTTATTTGGGATTACCTAGGAAGGAGGAATAGAGAGCAGTGAGAGTGAGACTTGGAAGCAGAAAGAGCTAACGTCATCTTATTCAAGGTCTCTGATGTAGGCAACTGGGGCATCAGGGACTTGATTCTGCCAGCATGTCTAAGAAGCTGGGTGCTTTTACACTGGCACCCCCTGCCCGTTAGGTGGGGACAGTTGTCTCTGTGTTATCACTTTCTTTATCTTCTGATTGCATTTGCTCTCTAGCTGACTGGGCCCCAGAGGCTTTGGAAAAGGCTCCAAGTCAGAAAGTGAAAAGATGTGTGGAACTCTTGAGGTTAACACTATCACTATGAGTCCAAGCTTACAACTGTCCAGGCAGCTATAACTGAAAATAGAGTTGGGCTGAACAGAGGTAATGCAGGACACCAAAAGCTTTGCCATAGCCCCTACTTCTTGAACTATTCAAATCCATTTGCTCCCTGTATTATGTCCATTTTATTTCTGCATCTTCAAGGTACTGGTAGCCTGAAATCTATAAAAATGACTCCATGTAGAATGGTTAATTAATAGCCATCACACGTACCCATCATTTTCCTCCTTTGCCACCCATTGTATATGTCCCTCATCTTTGACGAGCAATTCAGATGCTCTAAGTTGCTCACCTGCTGGGGTCATCTAGAGCTTTATCTCTAAGGATTCTGAGCCCTTAGTTGCTTTGCCCTTGTCAGGCTGTGTGCATAGTATTTTCTTCAATGATATTACTGGGCATGAAAGCACCACAACAAGCCCCATGAATGTTCTCAACTCTAAACATGCTTCCCTCATGAGCAACCATGGCTAATTATAATAGATTACATTGACCAGTATAATGAATCCCTTCTTTTGCTGTTGGTCCACCAACAAGAGAGTTCCAAATAGAAGCGGTCATAGCTTCAGGTTTAATGGAACTCTTACTTGGTCCCCTCATACAAGATTCTCCTCCTCGCATCCTTGTAACCATAATTTGTATGGCAGAATTTAAATTTGCAGAGGCAGCAAGAACAAATTCTGCAAGTCAATCACTGGGAATTATAAGCCAAACTTACTTTATTTTCTTAGTTCTCAGACTGATATAATTTTAGCTGCTGGGGGTGAAGCCCCTTTTATTGGCCATTGATTAAATGTGTGTAATACTTTTTTGAGGACAGAGTCCCAAACTTGGAGTGGAGCCTCAAATTGATATCTTTACTTACCCAGTGGTTCTCAAATGGGGGTGGTTCCCCCCACCCGCCAGGAGATATTTGACACTGTCTGGAGACATTGTAGGTAGTCAACTTGTCATACCCATAGCAGTTGGGGCTGCTACTGATATCTAGCAGGTGGAGGCCAGGAATTCTGCTAAACATTCTACACTGCTCAGGACAGCTCCCCACAAGAAGGAATTATTCAGCCTATAATGTCAATAATGCCTAGGTTGAGGAACTGTGGTTAGACTTTAATATTGCATTCCTGTATTCTATCAAGCAACCAGGAACCACATCTCTCATCTGTCAGTTGTCATACTGTAGCCACTGCTTGTTGTGGCCGTGCTGAAAACTATGCCACCAGTATTTCAAATACCAGCAGGGTCACCCATAGTGGACAGGTTTCAGCAGAACTTTCAGACTAAGACAGACTAGGAAAAAGGATATGGCTACCGTCTTCCATAAAAATAGGCCATGAAAACCCTATGAATAGCAGTAGAGCATTGTCTGATTTGGCATTGAAGGGTAAGAGGATGGTGCAGAAAGACCTGGCAGGGTTCCTCTCTGCTGTAAACAGGGTAACCGGGAGTCGGAATTCCTGAACAACACTATCGAAAACTTCTATCAAGTAGACTGCTTCCACATATGTGGTAGGGCCTGTGAATCTTATGATCATGTACCTGTTGTTTCACTTCACTGGGTGGTAATGTTATGCAAGGATCCCATATTAGTAAATCAGGTATTCTGTAAGCATGAATATCGTGGTGCAGACAGAGGCTATGTAGAAAAGGAAGTCTAACCCACATCCAGAAAAAAAAAATACAATCACAGAAAGGACAAATCTTTGCACTTGCCATAATGAAAGGAATTTGATGTCATCAATTTATTGCTTATTGCTTGTTGGTTTTCTCAAAAGAGTAAACCATTTTGAGGGCTTAATCTTGGTCTTTCATTGAGGCTTCATCCTCAGTATCTCACTGGCTTAACTAGCTTTGATAAGAGAGTGCCTATATTTTGTGGCTCATACATAACCTGCATCCCTACCACTCTCTTCATGAGCACTTTGCGTAAGCACTGAGGTGAAGGAGGTCAGAGCTGCCCAAGACATCCTAGATGACTCATTCTTTCTACCTGGCTGTTGACTGCCTCCATTGTGGAGGATCCTCACCAATGAACATTGATTTAGATCTGCATGCTTTGGGCTCACTCTCATATGTTCATCCATATGCTACCTCTTCAACCTTCATTGGCTCTGATTTTCCTATCTGGTTCCTTATGGGTCTCTGATCAATCAGTGAAAATTTTTGCAGGAGTCATTAGTCTGTGACTATCCTTATCTTGTGTAGCAGGCTATTTCTCCCAACATACAAAAGTAGATAACTAAGTGGGTTTCTCCCAGCTCTTTGCTTTGTGAGGATTTCCTCCTCCACTCCACTCTGTGGACAGCCCTTCAAGGGGCTGTAGGCAGCAGTAGTACATTTCATCCCTGCGCTATTATATATTCTGACAATCTGTCTGTGAACCAAGCCTGACGTTCTTTTCCTTCTTGTCAGCTGGTTATGAAACCTCGTTTCCCACCATGAAGTCATAGGTACTAACCAAAGAAGAGATATTGGTGCAATAAAGGTAGGTCTGTCTCTTAAGGAAATGCTTCTTAATGTACCAAATAATTTACAAGTCTATCAAGTGGTGGCAAACTTAAATGAGGTAGAATTTAAGACGAGTGAAGAAAACTTGGCTAATAATTAACTAATAATTGTAAAAGACAATTACAAATATAGGCACTGTATACCTTCATAATAATCAACACAATATTTTATTAAGAATCATTAATTCTTATCCCTTTATCTTATATAATTAAGAAAGATGAATGGAACTGGCATGGACACTCCTTAAGCTCCAGAGATGAAAATCAGCATTAAAATGATCAGCACTTTAAACCTACCATTGAAATTAGTTTGTGTGAAGTTAAAAATTGTTTACATTTTCTTCCAATTCAAAGTAGTTTACAAGCAATTGTTTAGCTATTTAATTTTTTCTTATTGAAGCAGAATAAAGACAGTGACTTCTTTTTCAGAACTTAGAAATCCTGACATTCAAGCTCAGATAATATTCTCAACCCAGGTTCCTTAATAAATGAAATCCAATTGTTGCTGCACCTCACTTTGTGTAGCAAATGACTTCTTGAAGACTACAAATTAAAATTCTATAAATTGCACTTTATATGATGATTCCTTTTAATTATGTTTTGTGGAGTCATGTTTGAAAAAAGTGGTAACAGTACAAAATAAAAGTCATAGCTAAAGCAACAATGTTAATTAAACATTTTATAGAAATGGTTTTAAGGATGCTTATGGAAGTATTAAAATAAGTCACACAGGACTAACACTAAACCACATATGGTACTAGAAGCTGTTGTTTAAACTGGATTTACCCTGCAGTGAGTTATGCCCTGAATAATGCCCTGGTCTTTATGTTTAGCTCTTATCCTTCCTATATTCCAGGGAACTAATGCACTTTAAATTCTTAATCCTTGTCCTGTACACTCTGAAAAATCACTAATATCCCACTAAGGCTATTAGTCTGTTTCCTGAAAGTAACGACACATGCTACACTCCAGCAAGTGGACTTCCTTCAAACTTGAGCCTTCTTTATCAGTCAATATGTTCCAGTGGAGAATTATTGGCTTATAGTGTTAATCCTCAAAGAAATTTATGATCTCTACTACATGTGTATTGGTTGATTCAACTAGATTATACAAAGCAGAACTCTGTCTTCTTGTTAGAAAGTGAATTACATATAGAGGGAATAGTTGGCTTAGGTATGTAAAATTTCGCTCACTTGATATTAACTTCAAAACAAAATTGAATTCATTCGTTAAAATATATTCCTGAAATAACACTGCTGAATCTTGTGGTGAGTGGTGTTTAAGATTATAATGGATCCTCATTATACTTCTTTCTTGATAAAACAATGAATTTATAGTTAAATATATCACTCATGTCTTATTAGCGTAAGTTGCATTTGAGAGATGGAATTTGGCTCTCATTCATATTTTATGGACACCTTGTTCAGTCCTGAACATTTTCCTCAGAGCAGCCTTCATTTCCTTGTTCCTGAGGCTATATATTAGAGGATTGCATAGAGGTGTTATCACAGAATAAAACAAGGTAATGAATTTCTGAGTTTTCATTGGATGTCCTGATCCAGGACTAACATACATCACCAAAATGGAGCCATAAAACAAGGTGACAACTGCCAGATGAGAAGCACAAGTTGAGAAAGCCTTGCATTTGCCAGCCTCTGAGGGCATCCGGAGCACAGCCAGAATCACCAGAGCATAGGAGCAAAGGATAAAGAGAAGGGTTCCAATCATGAAAACAGCATTGAAAGTAGAGTAAGTGAGCTGAGTGATGATGTCTGCAGAACAGGACAGCATCATCAATGGGACAGGATCACACACAAAATGATTGATGATATTTGGACCACAATAGGGCAGCTGTGAAATGAGAACAACTGGGGTTAGGAAGAGGATGAACCCACATGACCATCCGAAGATGACAAGACCAGTGTATAGCTGCTTAGACATAATGTGTGGGTAATGTAGAGGACGGCAGATGGCAAGGTACCTGTCAAAGGCCATGATGCAAAGGAAGAAGCCTTCATCATACCCAAAACAGAAGAAGAAGTAGAACTGTGTAAAACAACTCACAAAGGAGATGGACTTGCTAGTGGACAGGAAGTTAGCCAACATGTTAGGGATGGTTGTAGTAACATAACATATTTCCAAGAGAGAGAAATTCCCCAAGAAGATGTACATGGGAGTGTGAAGACGCCAGTCCCAACACACAGCACAGATGATGGCTGCATTCCCCAACAGGGTCAAGATATAGGCTCCTGAGAAGAGCCCAAAGTAGAGGAACTGAATTTCTGGGCTTGAGGGAAAGCCCATGAGGATGAAGTGGCTGATAGAGCTGGTGGTTTCTCTGCTGGACACATTCATTAGTCGGGAAGGCATGGAGATGACATTGGTTATTGCATTTTAGTGGAGTATATTGGTTTTTCCTGAAAACACCAAATTTTAAAATCTTTTGTTTCATAAAGTAGTAAACACACTTTGCTTAAGCAGCAAAACTGACTTTTATGACTGAGCCTCTGAACATATTTAACTTTCAAAAGTCACAATAATAGAAAAGAGGGAAACATGAATCAGAGACAAATTTTTACCTTTCTAAAGACACTAGACTAGACTAAACTTTTGTGATTCTGCTAAATTACCTTTCTAAAGACACTAGACTAGACTAAACTTTTGTGATTCTGCTAAATTACCTATATTAGTCTACTCTTTCATCTATTTACCGGCACTATTGATACTACATTTTTGTGCACGTGAACCTCTTTCAACAGTACTATGGATACCTGATTCTTTATGATTTATAACTGATATAATAAAAAAAAAATCAAGATATTTTAAAAGACTTTGTCTCAATGTAGTGCCATGACAGGACATAAATTAATCTTGATTTTCATTTTCAGTTCCTCCAGGTTACTCATGGTGTTTTAAATGATATTAAAAAATACCTCTATCATTCCAGGGTATATCGTCTTTCTGCTATTTCATGTATCTATACCACTGTTTAATATAAAAAATGCTTCTTTTCCTTTTTAGGCTACTGGATGCACTATACACTGTGAGAAAGAGTTCTACACCTTGGCCTCTAAATTGCTCTGGCTAGATATTTTGCTATACTTTCACGCACTAGATATGCCCATTTTGTCAGTTGACCTAAGGGAGAGCAGCTGGTCTGAGTGACTGTGGCTAAGTTCAGCGTGCCTGTACTAGGTAGCCCTAGTCACATTGGCTGCAAGGAAAATGGAAAGATAGGTTTTACATTTTCGTGAGGATTTCCGTATTCCTTTCTTCACAGCTCTTTCCACATGTTCCTTTTTCTCGCTTTTGGACAGATCTTCAGTATCTTTTTACATCTCACTAAGCCCCATCTAGGCCTTTCCTATTTGGGCAAATCTGAAATAAGGAACTTCCTGCCTCTCTCTCTCTTTGACTACTTCCATCCCAAGTAGTTGTTATTGAATCAAAACTCAATTTTCCTCCTCAGGAACCTACTATGAACTATTACATTAGGCAAAGTAACTAATTCAAAAATATTTCTTAAACTTCTTCATTGTGTCAAGTGGTCACTTAATTGTTGGAGAAACAGCTGTGGATATGAAAGATCTTGCATTCATGGAGCTTATAATCAAGAGGTTAACAGTAAAAGTCATATATTTTTGCTGAATTTTGATTTGTTTTTCACTCCTGAAAATATTTTTGCATTTTATAAGGAATATTTAGTAAATCGAGGAAGTGTTTTCAAGGTGGGAATCCAAGATCCTGAGTTAGGGAGGTCCCTTGACATATTTTTTATAGGAAGATAATATCAGGATTCCTAGGTCAGACCATGTAGATGGCTAACTCTTTTATTTGATGATTGAGATGTTATCTAAATTGGAAGGACTGCTATTTATTGTTTCTCATTGCCACTAGGATTGTATAAACAAGGATGTAGTAAATCAGGTCAGCAAAATCCTTTGCTCTATGGCTTATCCAAAACAGTTTGCTAATATTTTAAAGAAAAATTCATTCATTCACACAGGACTTTCGAGGATTCATGTCCCCTAATACCTTGTTTGAAACATATTTTTGCATTACAATGAACTGCCTTTTTGTCCTTTAGACATTTTTGTGTCCTATTTACTCAAGACCCTACTTTCAGCCATCTCAGTTAATTTATTTTACTTAGAGAATGATCATCAACAAAGGATTTGTTTCAAATCATTATTGACACATACCCTGCTTGTTTGAGAATATTACCTGGGGATAGTAATTGTCCAATGCCAGAGTTTAGAGCAAATCCTGTATGTGCAACAAAAATAACAACAAAAACTCATATATGCTGAAAAGTTTTGTTGCTTCAAAAAGAATTAATCCACAGTAAACCAGGGCTCATTAATCTAATGGAACTAAAAAGCAATATATGGGCTTGGGAAGGAAGATATCTCTGGAAAGAGGGATTTGCCATATTTCCTTTACTTACCAAGCAAAAAAAATAAATAATCAAAATAATCCTTCTCCAGCAATGTATCAGTTAATGTACATCTTCACTTGAAATTCTAGGCCTCTTTGTATATATATCTTACCTATCTTCTAGAGGGATATATAAATTAAGTACAAAATATCCTACAGAACTCAGGGAAACAAGAAGGAAATTCATACCTTCAGGGTTTATTTTTTGCCAGCATTTCGTTCTAATGAAATATTTTCAGTTTTCTCGAAGGTAAGAATAAAATGCTTCCTATTAAATTATTAATGCAAAAAATTGGAGCACCTGTAGCTCCCATGTTGCACGGTTTCCAGTCAGTCCTTCAATGAATGCTAAGAGGATGTTCTAATAGGGAGATGAAGTATTACTTCACCGAGCAAAAGGCATGTGAGAGGCTTCCAAGAAATTGCACGATCCAGTGTGTAATCGCTCATGGATTGCAAAGAGTGAACCTACAAGATATTTTTTTCTCCAGCTTCAGAGCACAAGTTTATGGTCAAAATGAAAGCCGGATGAAGGTATATATATATATGCCTATTTCCTTGCATCATGACCTTTTGAGATTTGGGTCTTTTTCTCTTGATGATTTGAAAATATTTGTTCAAAAGAGGAGATAATGTTTGAATATTCACTTACTTATAATCAAACATCAAGTCTTAGTATTCTCCAAAGAATAGTGAAGATGTAGAAGTTGATTTTATCTTTTCCTTCTTCTCTAGTACCTGTGTATTACTGAGGGTTCCTGGGATTGTCATAATAGGTACAATAGGAAGTTCTACCATTAGATTCCCTGTATCTATTTTGAAGAAGAAGAAATCATTCTTTGTCCATCAAATATCTGTACTTTCATAGGTTGTTACTAATATTTGAGTTGCATTTTATGTAGGGCAAAAAGAATTGGCAGCTCAAACTCATATAATCAGAAAGTAGAATTGTGATTGCCAGGGATAGAGGAATGAAGGAAATGGGGAGATGTTGGTCAAATGGTATAAACTCCCAGCTATAAGATGAATAAGTTCTAATGTACAGCACGGTGACTATAATTAACCATACTGTATTATATAATTGGAAGCTAACAAACTAGATCTTAAATGTTCCCATGACCAAAAAAAAAAAAAGGCAATTATACGAGGTGCTGGAGGTCTTAACTACCCTTATTGTGGTAATTGGTTCACAATACATATGTTTATCAAATCATCATATTATACATCTTAAACATACACAATGTTATATGTCAGTTAAATCTCAATAAAGCTGGAAAAAAAGAATTGGCAGTTCAAGAAATTTAATTGGTGTTCAGTTACTCCACAAATATTTATTGAATATCTAACCATGTTCCAATCACTATTTCAGATCCCAGGGATATTGTAGAAACCAACCCCAAATGTCCTGTCTTCACAGTACCTACATTCTATTGGAGGGAGAGGAAAATAAATAACATAAATAAGATAATTATATAGTATACTAGAAAATAATATAAAAAAAAAATCAGGGGCCTGCCCCGTGGCCGAGTGGTTAAGTTTGTGTGCTCCACTGCAGTGGCCCAGGGTTTCGCTGGTTCAGAACCTGGGTGCAGACATGGCACTGCCACGTTGAGGCGGCATCCCACGTACCACAGCTGGAAGGACCCACAACTAAAATATACAGCTATATACTGGGGGGACTTGGGGAGAAAAAGCAGAAAAAAAAAAAAGGAAGAGTGGCAACAGTTGTTAGCTCAGACGCCAATCTTTAAAAAATAAATAAATAAATAAATCAAGGAGTTAGGAGAGAATGTTAGAATGGGGGACTATGATTTTAAATAGAGTGGTAAGGAAAGCCTCACAGAGAAGGTAACATTTAAACAATGTCTTGAAGTGAGAGAACAAACTTTATGGATATCTGGAGGAATTGTGTTCCAGGCAAAAAGATTTGTCAATCATGGGAACCAGAGGGATAAGAAAGCATAACATGTTGGAAAAACAGCAAGGAGGCCAGTGTGGCTATAGCAGTGTAAGCAATAGAGAAAGTAGTAGGACATGATGGCAGAGAGAAAACAGATGAGGGCAGATCATTTAGGGCATGTAAGCTATTGTAAAAACTTTGGCTTTCACTCTAAGAAAGGGTCAGGGGAGGTGTTTAAGCAGAGAATAAAATGATCTGGCTTAAGGGTTTTGTTTTTTTTAAAGTTTGAAATATTGTACATAAAAGCATGCCTGTTGTAATTACACAGCTCACTGAGTTATTAATAATGCACACACCATTTAACTGTCACCTGACTAAAAGAAATAGGACACTACTTAGCGTCCCAGAAGCCTCACTGTGGTCTTTCCTATTACTACTTATCTCTCCAAAATAACCTCTATCTTTATTTCTAATACCCTCAATTTGCCTGATTTTGAAATCAAATCATGACAGTGTCTGTTTTGTGTTTGGAATTTTGCATTGATAATTAAATTTGTGAGATTTATCTGTGGTCTTTCATATTGCTGTGGTTCATCTGTTTTCACTATTGTATAATATTCCTCTGAGTGAATATGCACAAGTCTTCACTCTATTGTAGGGACATTTGGGTTGTTTCCAGTTTGGGGCTCCAGTGCTGCAATGAATAGTATTCTGCATGTCTCTTGGTGTATGCTTGCAAGAATATATGTTGTATATACAAGAAATTTCTGGATCCTAGAGAATGCATATTTTGAATTTTAACAAACAGCATCAAAGAGTATTCCAAAATGGTTACCCAAATGTACCTTCTCATGAGTAGTATATGATAATCCTCATCATTCTGTATTTTGTGCCAGTCTTTGATTATGTCAGTTTTTTAAAAAATCATTTAGGAAAACACATACTGTGTTATAATTGGATTATATTCTTTTTTCAAAATGATTTTTTAAGCGTCTTGCACATTTTTCTATTAGGAATTTTGTTATTACTTTAAATATTTAAAAAACATTCTGAAAACATGCCTTTTATTAGTTATCTGTATTCCAAATTTTTCTCCCATTTATGTGACTTATTTTTCCAGTCTCATAATTTTTTTAATGAATAGGAGTTCTTAATTTTAATGTGTTTAATTTATCAATCAAGTTCCTGTACAGTTAATTCTTTTTTGTTTATTTCAAAGGCATGAAAACATTCTACTTTATTTTTTACTAGCTTTATTATGTTACCTTTCACATTTAAGATCTGCAATAATCCTGGGCTTAATTTCTGTGTATGGTTTGAAATAGAGGTCAAAGTTCATTTTTCCACATGAAAATCCATTTGACTTAGACTTTTTTTTCTTTTTGGTAAAAGAACCTTCATTCCACCCCTGCTTTGTAGTCCTAATTTTATCATAAACTAAGTGTCTATATATGATGGTTTGGTTTCTGGATTATCTGTTTAATTCCATCTGTCTTTTTGTACCTATTTCACTGGTAGCACATTCTCTTAATTATCATAGCTTTATAATGTCTGATATCTCATAAGGTGAGTCCTCCTAATTTATTTCTCCTTAAACTTTTTTGGTAGTCTTAGCTCATTGTATTTTCACATAAATTTAGAATCCACTTTTCAATTTGCACAAAAATTATTGCTGGAATTTTGCTTGAGATTGCTTTGAGTGGGGAGAATTATTGTCATCTACACAGTAGTTACTTTTATAATCCATGGATGTAGCATATTCTCACCATTAATTTGTCTTCTTGAATTTCTCTCAATAGGCTTTTACAGTTTTCTGTATAGAAGACTTGCCAAATCTATATATTTTTTTCCACTGAGCCCCTTCTCCATTGTTTTCCAATGTTATAATAGAGGGACAAAGGCTGCGGGTTGTAACACGGAAATCTGTAGCCAATTTCAGAGACATTTGTAGAGTGTGTGAACAAGCTTGTTGACCTCATTCTGAACTTGACCAGTTGGAAGTCAGTTTCTCACCACCTCCTCCTTTACTCTAGTTAATAGATGAAACAGTAAAATGAGAGCAGTGGGCAGGTCTAAGCTTCTTCCAAGGCTCCTCTCCATATCCGAAGTCCTCAGAGTTTCTGGGTCCTTTAATCCCTCTTCTGGTTCCTCACTGTCTGACTGAAGTCCCCTCATTCCACTTAAAAAATTTTTTTTCCAGTTTTATTGAGAAATAATTGCCATATATCACTATGTAAGTTTAAGGTGTACAGCATGATGGTTTCATTTACATATATTGTGAAATGATTACCACAATAGGTTTAACATCTATCATCTCACATTGATACAATAACAAGAAAAGAAAAAATATTTCTCCTTGTGATGAGAACTCTTAGGGATCCACTCTCTTAACAACTTTCCTATGTATCACACAGCCATGTTAGCTATGGACATCATGTTGTGCATTACACCCCTAGTACTTATTATTCTTATAACTGGAAGTTTGTGCCTTTTGACCATCTTCCTCCAGTTGCTTCCCATGGCTTTGGTAACCACAAATCTGATTTCTTTTACTACGAGGTTTTTGTTTTGTTTATTTTTTTTAGATCCCACATGTAAGTGAGATCATACAGAATTTGTGTTTCTCTGTCTGACAGATTTCACTTAGCATAATGTCTTCAAGTTCCATCCATGTTGTCACAAATACCTGGATCCGTTGTGCCTAAGATCTTAAAGGCAATCTCAGTCACATTGTGTTATGGGATGAAATTCAAGTGGGAAATCAGGAAAGATTCCTGGATATATAGATAGAGAGGCCTGGAAGGATATGGGGAAAGCTAAAGACACAACAATTGAAGGAATTAAGCTTGTTCAAATACACAAATCAGGTCGCTTTCCCACACACAGCGCTGATAGTTAGAACACTGAGAAGGAGACTGTCTCAGGGAGACCACTTCAAAGGCCTGAGACCCACCAGCCTAAATGTCTCCCAAAATACCTCTTTTAGTGCACTCTCATCCGCAAAATAACATCATTAACACTGTTTGCACCTATATAAAGGATTTTAATCATATTAAGTTGCATACTACTATAGGATGTTTTCTCCTTGAATGTGACTAGGCATTTACACTGTCAGAAAATTATATACAATTTAAATGACTATTTTAGAAAACAAAACTAAGAAAAATTGGCAAATATGAAAAGTGCAGAGAAATTATTAATGTCACTACTGGTACATCTAAATCAAATTGTTATTAATACCTTGTTTCATTTTCCCTATTCCTAATGTATTTATAATCATAGTATAACAATTTTGAATCTCATTTTTCTCACTCTCATAGCACATCTTAAGTCTTTACCCATACTTTTGGACTATCTCTATAAGTATTTATTTTAATACTGCTAAAACATTCTATCATGTACACATACTACAGTGGTCTTAACAATTTATTTATTGGTGGATGTATGGTTTATTTACAATTTCAGATTATTCTCCAGGGCTGATGTTCTATGAGGAAGCTTGAAGAGTTGAGATCCATAGGAGGAAATGTAGATGGTATAAAGGAGAACTGATTTGAAGAAAGAGCACAAAACCAAGAAGGAGGAACTCCTGTCCCACTTAATAATCTACTTATGTGATGAGTTTATACCACCTGTGCTATTGGAAGGACACTGACGAGGTCCCCAGAACAACACATGCTGCACCAACACACAACCTTGTGTCTTAAATGAGCTCAGGGAAACAAGCAACTTTCCAAAACATTTATAGGAAATACAAGATATAACAAGTGCGTTTGTGTATGTGTGTATTTTATGTGTGTTATTTTGTCCTTGAGGGATTAGGTATGTGTTCAGTATATTGATTCTGAACTTAGTTTTGGGGATAGGATGTATCACCCAAATTATTTCCAGATTTTCTGATGAAGGTTTTTCAGTGGCTGCTTCAGTCAGCAGCATGTGGACTCCAGACCAAAGTCCCACTATGTTGACTCAGCTTCAGTTCCTGAAGCAAGACTCCTCATTTCACTCTGAGGGAAGAATTAGAAATAAAGAATAAGCCTTCTTTAAACTGTCAAGTTGAGATTTTTGAGTTAACTTTTTTTCCCTCATTTTTTTTTTTTTTTGAGGAAGATTAGCCCTGAGCTAACTACT